TATTTCGGTCCTTGTAGGGTCAAGTGATCTCAGCAGCCAGGAAGCCTTGGTGTGCCACTCTGGACTTTGTAACGTCCCACCCAGGGACCCCAAGCAGCCAGTGAACATTGGTGTGCCACATGGCACATGCTGAAAGCCTGCACAGCATACTTCACCAAGCCATACATCATTGGTGGCCACTCAGGATCTGGTAAGGCTCTGCCCAATGACCCCAATCAGCTGGGAAGCCTTGGTGGGCAGTATGGGGTGTGCTGAATGTCTGCCCACCATACTCCAGCCATTAAGAGATGCCCTGAGTGCCACTCAGGACATGGTAAGGCCTGCTTAATGACCCACATTCAGCTGAGGAAACCTGCTGTAGTATGGACAGCCATTCTCAACAATGAAACAACTGAGGTTTTGCATAGTTGCTGAGAAGAATAAAGGAAAATGACAAAATGAAAGAGTAAAATGCAATCTCTAGCTTGCAGCCTATTCCAAACAAGCCTAGGAAACATGGACATAGAATAAAGTGTAAGTCATTCAACTGAAACTTCTGAAACAATAGCAACGAAATTAAATAAACAATTTCATGGAGTTGTAAAGGAAATAAGATCAGAACTAAACTCCCAGGTAAAACAAGAAAATATAAACATAATGAAAGAAATGCTGAACATCTAAAGAAGACAGTTAAAAAATAGAGGAGTAATGCAAAAGGATGGAAACCTTGAATGAAAAACAAAAAATGAGGGCTGGGGATTCAGCTCAGTGGCTTAAGTGCTTACCTGCTAAGTGCAAGGCCATGACTTCAATCCCCAGTGACAAAACAAAAGAGACTGCATGAAAAAGATTGAAAGAAATATCAAGGAAATAAAAAATTTCACAGAAAGCTAGCAAAACCACCTGAATGAATATAAAGATAGACTTTCAAACATCAAAGATAAGATTGCAAATACTGAAAGGAAAGGAAAGATCTTTTAAAAATAACAAGGAATCAGGAAATAACAATTCAACAGTTGCAACACACTACAAAGAAAAACAATATACGATAGATAGGTGTAAATGAAAAAGGTGAAAACACAAATGATGTAAAAAGACCATTTACAGAAGTAATAGCAGAAAATTCTGCAAATATGGGAAAAGAAACTGACATCAAATCAGTGAAGCACACAGTGCTGCAATTAGACATAACCAAAATAAATTTACACCCAAATATGTAATAATCAACATTCTAAAAATTCAACATAAGAATAGAATATTAAAAGCTATTAGGCAAAAGAAATGTATCACCTTTAATGGAATGTCCCTCAGTACAGCAGACTTCACAACACAAAAAACCAAGTCAAAGAAAGTACGGAGTGAAGAATGTCAAATCTTAAAGGAAAACAACATACAACCAGATTGATATACTCTGTAAAACAATCCTTCAAACTGCTGGAGAAATAAGATACTTCGATGAAAATTAACACCTGAAGAACTTCATGACAACTCTACAAAGAATATTAAAAGATATTCTAAACAAACATAAAAATAACTATGACTTTAAAAACACCAACAGAAGAAAACCACTAAGGTCAAACAACTAAACAGAGGGCAAAGGTAAAGAATCAACAGCAGTTAATATAACAAAAATAAGCCAATATATATATCAGCAATAATCATTAAGGTAAATGGTCTCAATTCACCAATTAAAAGAAACAGATTGGCAGAATGGATCAATAAACAACATCCAACCATATGCTATATACAAGAAACCCATCTAACCCAAAAGGAAACTCATAGCCTTAAAGTCAAAGTATGGAAAACAATAGTCCACGCAACAAGGCACACGACAGGTGCCCGATCTGGAAGAGGGAGGTGGGGCTAGCCACTGGATCGGCCTTGCTGACTGCCTTCTATCACCAGGAAGACACACCACAGGTGCTCCACCTGGAGGAGGGACATAGGCCGAGCCATGGGAACCTGCTCCAACCTTGCTGACCACCTAATCTCACCTGGAGGGCACACACCACAGCTGCACCGCCCGGAGGAGGGAGCTGAGCCAAGGCTCGGGAACCAGTTCCGGCCTTGTCTGTGAACTTCTTTTAGCCTGGAGAGCACCAGCACTACTGCCACTGCCTGCAGGAGGGAGCAGCCCTGCTGAGGAAGTTTGAGGCCTACCTAGGCCATAGGGGTGACCTTCTATCAGCTGGGGGAGCTTTGCCACCAAAGGAGTTGGATGATTACACGACATCCAATCCCCGGGAGAGTACAAGATCCTTGTTGGAGCGGGTGGAGGATCCACAGGGATTGCAGCAACAGTAGATTAGGCTTAGTGGGATTTGGGCCTGGCTGGACCATGCCAGGTGACCTTCTTTCATCAGGGGACCTTCCCTGCCAGAAAGGGGAGCTGTATAGATGGAGAAGGCTTTAGTTCTACATGAGAGGAGCCTGGCAACCTTCTTTTAATCAGGGTGGCCTTGCTACCTGAGGAGGGAGCTACACGACGAGAGGAGTCCCAGGAGCCGAGGACATAGGAGACAATTTCCTACACGCCCAGGAGAAGCTTGGGAACAACACTTAAAACATGGAAATATAGGAAAATAACAAAACAAAAGACCAAAATGCAATCTAAAAAATCCAGCCCATCCCAAGAAAGCCTAGGAGCCATGTACATAGAAGAAAATACATGCCATATGCCTGAAATACCTGAAATAATAGTAACCAAAATAGAGGAGGAACTCCAGGAAGCTTTAAAGGAATTCAAACTAGAACTAATCTCCCAGGTAAAAGAAGAAATGATAAAACAAATGAAGGAGATGCTGAACATATCTAAAGAAGACACAGTTAAAAAATTGGAAGAACTAAACAAAAAGATAGAATCCCTGGATGGACAATATAAGAAACAAAGAATATATAAAGCAGATGCAAAGACATATACAGGAAACCAAAAATTCCAAGTTGTAAAAACCGCCTTAATGAATGTTAAGATAGAATTTGAGACCTCAAAGATAAGATTGCAGCCAGTGAACAGGAAAGGAAGGATCTATTAAAAATAACAAGAAATCAGGAAATAACAATTGAACAACTGCAAGATGACGCAAAGAAAAACAACATAAGATTAATAGGGATAAATGAAAAAGAAAGGGACAACGTAAAGGATGTGAAGAGGATATTTAGAGAAGTAATAGCTGAAAATTTCCCAAACATGAGATTGGAAACTGATATCAGGATCAGTGAAGCATACAGAACTCCAAATAGCCATAACCAAAATAAAACTCACCCAGACACATAATAATCACCATCCCAGAAATACAACAAAAGAATAAAATATTAAAAGCTGTCAGAGAGAAAAGACAGATCACTTATGAAGGAAAATCTATCAGAATCACAGCAGACATCTCAGCACAAACAATAAAGGCAAGAAGAGCATGGAGTGAAGTATTTCAGATCCTAAAGGAAAATCATTTCCACCCTAGACTGATGTACCCTGCAAAACTGTCCTTCAAAACTGATGGTGAAATATGATACTTCCATTACAACAAACAGCTGAAGAACTTCATGATCACCAAGCTAATCAAGCAAAAAATATTGGAAGACAGTTTAGATGCACTTAGGAAAAAACCACTAAGCAAAGCAGACAATTAAACAGAATGGAAAGATAAAGATGCAACAGCAGAAAGATAACATGTCAACAATAAACCAATATATAACAGTTATAACCATTAATGTAAATGGTCTCAATGCATCAATTAAAAGAAACAGATTGGCACAATGGATCAATAAACAACATCCAACCATATGTTATATACAAGAAACCGATCTAACCCAAAAGGAAACTCAGAGCCTTAAAGTCAAAGTATGGAAAACAATACTTCATGCAACAGGCACCCAAAAAAAAGCAGGAGTAGCCATTCTGTTTGCAGACAATGTGAACTTTAAACAAGTAATGATCAGAAGAGATAAAGAAGGTCACTACATACTGTTTAGGAGAAAACTTCAAGAAAAACAGATAACTATTTTAAATATATATGCACCAAATTACAGAGCACCCAGTTATATAAGACAAGTATTAACAGAAATGAAAAACCAAATTAGCAGTAACACAGTTCTAACACCATTGACACCAAGGGACAGCTCAACCAGACAGAAAACCAGCAAACAAATAACAGAACTGAATGACAACTGTGAACAAATGGACTTGATAGATATATACACAGTGTTCCATCCAACAACAGAATACACACTATTATCAGCAGTACATGGGTCAGTCTCTAAAATAGAGCATATATTAACTTACAGAACATATTTAAATAAATGCAAAAGAGCTGCAATTATCCTTTGCATGTTATCAGATCATAGTGCTATGAAACCAGAAATTAATGATATAAGACACTGCAAAAATCCCACAAACACATGGAAACTGAATAACACACCCTTGAGTAATTAGTGGGTCACAGAAGAAATTAAACAATGCCTACAAGAAAACAAAAACAAATACAACATACTGAAATCTGTGGGATGCAAAGAAAGCTGTCCTCAGAGTAAAATTTATTACACTGAGTTCCCACATCAGGAAAAGAGAACGAATACAATTAAATAACATGATGCTACACCTCAAACATCTAGAAAAAGAAGAGCAAGTCAAGCCCAAAGCAAAAAGAAGGGAGGAAATCATAAAAATCAGAGCAGAAATTAATGCAATAGAGACTAAGAAAATAATCCAAAGAAGTTGGAACCAATCAAAGAGTTGGTTCTTTCAAAGAATACATAAAATTGATAAGCCCCTAGTCAAACTTATTTTTAAAAAGTGAAGAAAAAGCTCAAATTCATGCAATAAGAAATGAAAAAGATGAAAAAACTACAGATTCGGTATAAATACAGAAGACCATCAACACCAATCTCTATTCTCATAGGTTTGATAACACAGAAGAAACAGACAAATTCCTAGAAACATATGAAGTACCAAAGTTAGGTCAAGAAGATATTAAACTGCTGAATAACTGAATTTCTATTAATGAAATAGAATGATAAGTCCTTACCCACAAAGAAGAGCCCAGGCCCAGACGATTCACTGCAGAATTCTACAAGAAATACAAAGAAGATTTAATACCAACACTCTTCAAACTCTTCGATGAAATTGAAAGGGAAACAATCCTTCCAAAGTCATTCCTGGGAAGTAAACAATACTCTAATACCACAACCTCAGAAACACCCAACTAAAAAAGAGAACAGGCCAATCTCCCTGAGGAACACAGGTGCAAAAATCCTCCATAAAGTATTGGCAAACAGGATGCAGCAAATCATCAAGAAGATTATACACCATTACCAAGTGGGATTCTTCTCAGGCATGCAGGGATGTTTCAACGTACGTAAATCAATAAATGTAATCCACCCTATCAATAAAGCCAAAGTAAGAATCACATGATCATGTTTATAGGTGCAGAAAAAGCTTTTCATAAGGTCCAACATTCACTCGTGATAAGACCCTTACAAAAAATTGGAATAGGTCTTTATATGATAAAGGCCATCTACGACAAACCAACAGCCAGTATCATACTAGGTGGCCAAAAACTGAAGGCCTTTACCTTAAAATCAGGCACAAGACAAGGATGTCACTTATCACTGCTCCTATTTAATATAGTACTGGAAATACTAGCCAGAGCAATTAGACAAGAGAGAGAAATAAAAAGGGTAAAGATAGGAAAAGAAGAAGATGACATGATACTCTACATAGAAGACCCCGAAAACTCCACTGAAAAATGCCTAGATATGGTAAATAAATTCAGCAATGTAGCTGGAAACAAAATCAATACTCAAAAACCAATAGCATTCTTATACACTAGCAACAGACTCACTGACAGAGAAATAAGAGAAGCCACACCCTTCGTACTAGCAACCAAAAAAAATGAAATATTTAGGAATTATTCTCACAAAAGAAGTGAAAGATCTATATAGGGAAAATTATAATACACTGAAAATAGAAATTTAAGAGGCTCTCAGAAAATGGAAAGACATCCTTTGCTCATGGATAGGAAGAATAAATATTGTGAAAACGGCCATTCACCCAAAACTGTTATACAGATTCAATGCAATCCCAATAAAAATACCATCAACATACCTCATAGATCTCGAGAAATCAATCCTAAAATTCATCTGGAACAAGAAGAGACCTAGAATAACAAAGACAGTTCTAAGCAACAAAGGCAAGGCAGAAGGCATCACAATCCCTGACTTGAAGTTATACTACAAAGCTACTGTAGTCAAATCAACACAGTACTGAATTCAAAACAGATCTGAAGACCAATGGAATAGATTAGAAGATACAATCACAACTACAAACACACTCATCTTTGATAAAGGAGCCAAGCAGGTTCACTGGAAGAAAGACAGTCTCTTTAATAAATGGTGTTGGAAAAACTGGCTCTCCATATACTGAAAACTAAAACTAGACCCATGCCTATCACCAAGTACTAAAATAAAATCTAAATGGATCAAAGATCTAAATGGATCAAAGAACAGAAACACTAAATCTATTGGAAGGCAAACTGGGTACAAACCTTGAAGGCATAGGGATAGATAAAGAATTCATGAACAGGAATCAAACCACATGGGAAATACTTCTCAGAATCAATAAGTGACATCATATCTTATTAAAAAGTTTCTGCAGGTCAAAAGAAATCTCCAGCATAGTGAAAAGAAAACACACAAACTGGGAAAAGATCTTAGTGAAGTGCCGTAAGACAAACAACTTCTGTCTAAAACATATACAGAATTAAAAAAAAAAAAAATCAAAGCCACAAAATTCAAAGATCCAATCCAAAAATGCGCATCTGAGATGAATACACAGTTCTCAGATGAGGAAATACAAATGCCAAATAAATACATGAAAAAATGTTCATCATCATAAGTCATTAGAGAAATGTAAATTAAAACCACACTGGGGCTGGGGGTTTAGCTCAGTGGCGTAAGCGCCTGCCTTGAAAGCAGGCAGTCGTGAGTTCGATCCCCAGTACTGGTAAAAAGGAAAAAGACAAAAAAAAAAAAAAAAAAAACCACACTGAGATTCCATCTCACTCCTGAAAGAATGGCCAGGATCAAGAAAACTACCAATAAAAAATGCTGGAAAGGCTATGGGGAAAAAGGAACTCTCCTGCACTGTTGGTGGGAGTGCAGACTGGTGCAACCACTGTGGAGGTCAGTCTGGAGATACCTCAAAAAGCTGGAACTGAAAGTCCCATTCAACCCAGCTATTCTACTTCTAGGCATATTCCCAGAAGAACTGAAAACATCATACCACAGTGATATATGTGCCCCCATGTTTATAGCAGCACAATTTGAAACAGCCAGATTGTGGAAACAACCTAAGTGTCCATCAATAGAGGAATGGATAAAAATTTGTGGTATTTTTATACAATGGAGTACTACTTAGCTATAAAGAATTATCATATTGAGATATTTATAAATAAATGGATGCAAGTAAAGACCATAGTCCTAAGTGAAATGAATCAAACTCACATGTATAAATACTGTATCATCTCCCTAGTGTAGTATAAAGTATGTGGTAATCATGATTCCCCATTATATTGCTTTCAAGTCTCATAATGTTCTTATTCATTAGTTGTTATGGTTTTATTCTGGGTTGTTTGATTTTATTGTCTGTGATGGTGTGACAGCTATTTTGAAGAAAACAAGACATTATCATAGCTAGTACTGATTTAACATCATCTTGTTTTGAAGTCCTACCAAGCTTTTGTTCTTCTGTTTCCATTGGTTTTATCTTATTGGATTTTAAAATATGTGGAAGTATAAACAAAATTTATAGACAAGGAGATAATATAGTAACCATTGTTCATTTTCTGTTAGTTGGTTCTGAATACCCTGTAATAGTTTCATTCTGTTGAATGGTTTTATACTGTCTTGTTATGTTTAATATTATAGTGTATGAAGATATACTCAAATATTTGAAGGAAAGAGACACTAAGCTAGCTACTGTTATGTCGGGTTGTCCTGTGGTGAAACACTATGCTGCTTAACTTGTTCTGTTCTGACCTGTTTTGTTATGTCCTCTTTTATCTTAATGTTTATTTAAAATAAAGAAAAATTTAAAAAAACAATGCATGATATATTAAAGTGTTAATCTTCCATTATTTGATTTTGAAATGCTGTATAATTTGTCTTTAAAATAAGTAAATAAATAAATAAAGTTGCCTTGACTTTGTACATAGATGCAAAACACTGATGCAAAGAACCATGTTATACCTTAAAAAGTTACCTTGTCTGAACCTCAACTCACAAGGTCTTCCATTCTTTTTATGAGAAAATAAGTATTAGCCCTTTCCCATTTTTTTACAACAAAAAAACTTGTGTCTGACCCTGGCCTTAAAAGTCTCTTGTTACTATATATTGTGGAGGAACATAAGAGATCAATGTTCATGAGAGAGAAGAGAACTAGATCCCCATAAACTCAACAATAAAACAGGATATCTTAGTGCTACCATAAGACTTTGGCTCCTGGAAAGCCTGATTATTGGGAAAAAAAAACAAAAAACAAAAAAAACTGCCTTTTCTGGTAGAGAAGAAGCTTCAGGATACTTGTTAAAAAGCCTAATGTCCCCCACCTCCACAGGGCAAGAAACCTGCTGATCCACAGAAACACAGGCTGAGATAGCTATTGATGTAAAATGCAGTTTGATGCTTGTGGCACTTGATGTTTCACTGATTTTGCCAGTCTAGGGCTGTGGTCTGCTCATCTCTTTAGAGGATCATAGTACATAGTGTGGCATCTACAGAGAGTCTCCTTCTGAAGGTGGTATCTAGTTAACTCCCTATTATTTTGTTTTGAATTCCTTTTCATTGTTTTGTTGGGTTGGGTTTTATTGTTTTGTTTTGTTTCGTTTGATTTTGTTACATCTAATGGCATGGGCAGCTATTTCAAAGATAGCAAGATATGGTAGCCATTTTGGATTTACTATTGTCTTATTTTAAAAGCCTTTATTGCACTCATTGTTTTGTTTTTATTGGTTCTATTCTGTTCTGTTTTGATTTGTACTACATATGAAGGTATTAGCTCAGCAGCATAAGCACCTGCTTTGCAAGCACGCAGTTGTGAGTTTGAGCCCTGGTACCGATAAAAAAAAAAAAAAAAAAAAAAAATCATCAACCCTTGTCAAAATTCTCTCATCTCTGGAGAGCCTGAGGTAATGTTGGCACAGACATCAAATTGTGGGCTCCAGGTGGACTGTATTAGATATACAGAAAAACAGCTTATACTGTATTCCCTCTAACTAGTCAGAGTTTTCTGTTTTACAGGCAATCTGAGAGTCCAGGAATATTGGGAACAGAGACACAAAGAGAATGATGTGCCACATAAATTGACAATTAAAAAAAGGATAAACAGCCTCCAGAGCATATAATCCAGTATCATGGCCCTTGCAGTGGACAGTGGACAAGTCCTAGGGCTAACACACCATGATTTACATGCTAATTGCATAATCAGACCACAAGCAGTTATAAAAATTATAACTAATAAAAACCCCCAAATTCTATTAGCTAAACAGCAAATGAAAATGTGCAATGTTATATATCAAGACTGTTTGGACTTAAATTATTTTCTTCATTCAGAGGACAGTTTGTAAAAAGTTTAACCTGAATAATTGCTGCCTAAAAATAGCTAAAAAAAGTCACAAGAAATTATAGACCAAATAAATAAGATTGCTCATATTCCAGTCAAGACCTTGAAGAGTTTTTTGAAAAATGATTTTTGACCCTTAAGAGATTTGAAATCCTCATGGCAGCTGGGCACGGTGGCACACACCTGTAATCTAGCACTACAGATGCTCAGGCAGGAGGACTACCACTGCAAGTTTGAGGCAAGCCTGGACCACAAAGTGAATTCATGGCCAACCTGAACTGTATAAACCCCTGTCTTGGAAGGAGTAACCATCAAAATCTTTATAGGTGTTGTGTTCTAAATTCTAAAAACTTGTCTAATCCTACTCTGTCTAGCTCCTCTGGTTACACAGTCTATCTCTAGTCTCACTGAGACATGAGTCTTTTTTTTAAAAAGGCCACACAAGCATTGATACCATAAAACCATAAACCTTTAAACCAAAATGATGTACTTGACCCAAAACAGGAGTTCCAAAGATAAAAAGGAGTGATGTGGCAGGACCCCTTCCAAAAAATATGGTAGGAGTCTTTTCAAAACAAGAAAAGACCACACGCATAATTAATACCTTTGTACAAGAGTATACTTTTTAGCACAGTTCTGTAGCACAGATCATACCAAATCACACTGTAGTTTGTCAGTGTGCTGCCATATAAGAGAGCTAAAACACAAGAATTATATAAAAGGCCAAACTCCACCATGCTTGGGGCTTAGCCTTTAGATGTAAATCCACTGAGTCAGTGCTGGCACAAATAAAGGCTACTTCCTAGAAAGAGCCTCAGTGTCCAGCTCTCTATGCAAAAATCCTGCTACAATATTACTGTCCAGACACAACTGCAAGTCAAAGCACATTATAGAGTTAATTTTAAAACTGTCATCTAAAACCTTATTTAGTGGGGCTTGATGACACATGGTTTATAATCTCAGTACTCTGAGAGGTTGAGCCAAAAGGATCACAAGTCCAGCCTGGGAAATATCAATACAGCATGGTTCAAACTGAGTAAAACTGAGAATGTTAGGTACCATTGTGTACAGAACTCAAATATGGAAAAAGGTTTAATTATATTAAAGGTTCAATTATATTAAAACTTAGGATATTGTACATTATTCTAGGATTCTGTTACTTTGAACGTAACACATAGCCACGATCTAGTATGAGAGTCAAAAGAATCAGGTTCATATTTATTATTAAATTCACCTAAATATATTTTGCTGGTCCAAAGTTTTTAAGAAAATATTTTCTCTGTAGGAAAAGAGTTAAGGGGCTGGGGATTTAGCTCAGCGGCATAAACGCCTGATTGCAAGCAGGCAGTCGTGAGTTCGATCCCTGGTACCGATAAAAAGGAAAAAGACCAAAAAAAAAAAAAAAAAGAGTTAAGATTCCTGTTAACTAGGATCAGATTCAGATTTGAAAGTTTTGACTTTGTCACTAGCTAAGCAGCACTGCTATATAAACAAATTTAGTACAAAATTTCCAACCCATGGGCAGAGGTGTAGCTCACT